GTAAAAATCTGTGGTTTTCTTGCCGTTGTATAAGATTTTAATTTTAATTTAATCATTTTTTTAAAAGATATTCACCAAAATATATCTGATATATATTTACGAAATAACCAACTTTTACCAAAATTACGAAAATACCCACACGGATCGCCCCCAGTGGGCGAGGGTTGACCATGGGGGCGATCCCTCCCTCTTTGACCAAAGAAAGTACAAAAAAAATATTGAAAAATCAATTTGATTGGGTGACGTGGATCGCCTCCGAAAATAGATTCACCAAAATCGAGGCGAATAACATTTAGTTTCCTAAAGATGATGCATGTGGGATCCACCAAATTATTTTTTTAATATTTTTTTGTACTTTTTTGTCAAAGAAGGGGGGTCGCCTCCCATGCTCAACCCTCACCCCCGGGGGCTATCCGTGTGGATATTTTCGCAATTTTGGTAAAACTTGGTTATTTCGTTAACATCTCAAGTATATTTTGGTGAATTTTTCTTTTTTTTAAAATATAATTTTTGAAGATATATATTTTTGGACGTGGGACCCAAATGCTATTGTAGGTCTCATCTTTTCGGGTACGAATCTAACGGTAGTCAAAACTTTTGTGACCATGGAGTTTCACTTCCGATGACTCCAAGATGTTTGTGGTTGCTCGGGAAATTATTCAGTGCACGTAAACTGACTCAAATACTTATAGTTTAAAAAAGGAAAAAACCTGAAGTTCGTTTATATTCTACAAATAAATATGTATGGAGAAATTTGAATCTGAGAAATACTTTCTTTAACACTGATGTCGTGTCGTGGTATACATTTCTTTTTAAAGTCACACTTTTTGCAAGGTGCGTAGTGGTTTAAAATTCTTGCAAGTGATGACAATATGTTCATAACCAAGTTTCATATTCTAAGAAGAGGAACCTAGAAAACGTGTGATTTATTAAACAATACTTTTTGAATATATATTCCCATTAGTATCAAGAAATCGTATCGATTTTGAGTTTGAATCTTATATTTTATTGTAATTTAGGGATTGTGTTATGAGTACAGTAACGGTGGGAGACAACACTTTAGTCTTATCGGTTGCGATTTTTCGAGTCTTTTAAAAAATATATTAAAAACAATTCTTGTTATACATCATATTTAATTAAAACCCAAATCTGTTATTTACATCAGAAACTACTGATATCAGTATATTATATAAATTATATTATCTCAAGGATTTTTGTTTGAAAGAGAAGATTTCGTTACTTTAGAATCTATGATTAATATCTACAGTCATAAACCTTATTTTTAGTTCTAAACTTTTTTTTTAATTAACCTGGATATCCAACCCGCTATGCGAGTCGACTAATCTCAGGACGACCACCTGTTTTGCACATAGCCCAGAGTCACTGTATTTGAACCTCCGTGGTTACAAAGGGATTTTTAGTTCCAAACTTTACAGTAAAGACTCAAAGAATCTCATCCAAGTATTAGTAACTAAAAGGGGCAAAAGTCTTTATCCATAGTTCTGAGTCGAGTTAGAAATTATTGGACTGGTATGTTATTTTGGGCTTTTGGGATGTAACAAGTGGTATCATAGCCGACCATTGTATCATCGGGATGGTAAGATTAACCTATCGAGCACAATGAGTCCTTAAACGGGGTATTCATAACATCTTAGGCAATCACACATCGTCAGTGAACAAGAAGAATGATGGGTAGGCGTGACGAGTACATCAATAATATAAATATAAGAGTTTATGACAACCCGTCTCACATTAATAGAAAATGGGACTTGTTAGCTCGTTTAAATAGGTGGCAATTGTGACAACGAGTCCCGTCAAAATAGAAAATACGCCCCTTAAACACAATTTATCAAATTAGTTTAGTACTTTAGTTTTGGCGTGTTACACAATTCCTCGTAACTAATCAAATCACAATGTATAACTGTCGTTTACAGAAGTTTGCCGTAAGCTTGTTTCTTTTTTTCTTCTTAACCATGTTTTTTATGTGGCTCACAATATAATCACAATAACAAAATAGAAACAAGTTGTGAGACAAAATCTCAGCCATCGTGATTCGTGAACCAACTTTTAATCAAAACTTTATTCTCAACTTCGGTTTTATTGGTCATCACCATATACCAAGTTGAATCTAAGCAACTTGTTCATGTCTTCAAATGTTTGTCGGTGCACTTTTGTGCCAAAATTCTCGACTCTCATGGGCAATTATGGATAGTCACCAGGGATTTGATCAGAAAACAACTCCGGTCACCGGAATCTTGATTGGACACATTTGAAAATACCATCAACTTTTTTGACCAATGTTTGTCTCTCACCCCTCCCCCTTTTTGTAGGAAAGAATTGATTGAAACGTCCTTTTTGTATCCAATTCATGATAAAGGTCTCAATACTTTAAATTGTTGATGGAATTGCAATTGGATCCTTATGATACCACATCTCTATCATTTTTTTCGTTAACCGTGATGTCCCAGCTAGTTTGTGCGCACCTCGACTAATTCCAGGGACCCTAGAGAACAAGTTGGAAAATCCGCAATGGCCTTGCAGGTTTCGAACCGGTGACCTCTGACGAGAATCCCCTTAGATCCAAGTCTTATTGTCAGTTGAGCTAACTCCAAAAAAATTCATCTCTATCCATTTGGTCACCTAAAGGTTTCGATGTATGAGTTTCATTCACACAAGCGAACGAAAATTTGATTGTATTTGTGGATATGAGATGAAAACGAAAGTGGATGCCACAAATAGAAAAAGGAAGACAATCCCATAAACAAATACATGCTGAAATTGTGATATTAACTTTAAATATGGATAAAACAATAAGAAGACGAAAATAAAGTTAACTTTTATGACCGTTTATCAAAACTCTTATCGGGTAAGCATTTATCAGATGTCACTTATCTTACAAGTAAGTATGACAAAGACCAATAACCTTACTCGGTAAGAGGGATAGCAAGGACCGAGAATTTTATCCAGTAAACACTTACCGAGTAAAAAACACTTGTTACAATCCATTTTGATGGCCACGAACATCATCTAATAATTAAGGTAAGTAAAGGTGATGATGTTTGCAGATAAGTATTGCCTTCCCAATAAACATTTACATAAGCGGCTCCTTGGATTAAATCATAACCACATTTGATTGAGGTTTTCAATTCGGGATAGGGGTGCTCAAAATATTGATGAACCTGACCAACCCAACCTAGAAAAACTCAAAAAAAAACTCAACTCGAGGTAACCTGACACATAGTTGATACAAGATTAGGTCAAACCGCATCTACTAGGTTGGAATTGGGTTAAGGTGGTTTGAACTGAACCCAACCCGATGAATCCGATGCCTTTATATACTTGGATTTAATATGATTCTTAACTCCTTGATGAACATATGTACATTAGACATTAGGCTAATCCGTAATTAGCTATATTAAAAATTATGTTACAATTTTACATTCTTATTTGCATGAACTTTCAACTTTATTTTTTGAGTTTGTTAACCTTTTCGTATGTTACCATTTTGATTTTTCTTTGTTTACACATAAACAACTAGCTAAAATGATGTATCAAGGTTTCAACCCGACCAACGCAACCCAACCTGCATGGATTGAGTTGGATTGGTTTGTAGTTTGCTTGGGTTGGATTGAGATTTTTCAAATCGCAAAAATTGAATTGGATTCTTTAAATTCTTTCAACCCGGCCAACCCAAGGTTACAGTATCTTGAAATTTAAAAACAATTCAGAAAAATTAGAGCAAGAATGGTGGTTGTTATTATTTAGGGACTTTAGTAAGGTTTTATGAAATTGAGAGGGTCCGTTCCGTAATGTTTAGATAAAGCAGGGAGTGGAAGTGAAATTTCCCTTTCAATAGCTTTGCATGACCATACTAGTAGAAAAGTAGCAATAGTAGTACACATTTTTAAAACAATGACAAAGAAAAGGAGAAAGGGGGAATGAACAGCAACATTCAATTATAAGGACAATGTTGTTTATCAGAAAAGGAAAACCATTTTTAGAAAAAAAAATAATACAATAACTTTTTATATATATAAAAAAAACAGTACAATAATAAATCAATATCCAATGAACGATCGTGATTCTGATCCTAATTCTACACGTTATTTCATGTCGACATGAATGAACAAAATTACCATCTTAGGAGTTCTTATTTAAAACCGACGATACATCGTTTATTTGTGCTTTTATCAGTTTTCTTAGAACCGAAGATGCAAAACTTTTGACATACTATGCAAGCCATGTAACTCAGTAGGGGATATATGCAAGAGTTGGATAATAAATACTTGGTGAACATTGAAGGCTTGTTAATTATATGACGAGGCATACATGAAGGTAAAACATGAGTGATAATGTAGGTTGGGTCATCCAAGACCAATGTACAAAGACTATTCAATTAGGGAAAGGAAGTCTTTTGCTTGCATTATATATAAACATGAACATTTTTTTTTTGGAAGGGCATCCCAGATGAACTTGTATAGGTGTGACTGTGATACATCAGCCTTGATAAATTCAGTGAGCCACAGTTGAAGCATCCCAGATGAATCTGTATAAGGTGTGACCGTAATGATGAAACATATGCACCAAAGACTTTTTGGGGTTTGTGAGGGTTAAAAACTAGTAGTGAAATTTTAGAAAGAGATTGTGTGTGTGTGTGTGTATATATATGATTCAGACGTATAGAAGTAAGATAGATGGATAGGTTTGGCTCAGGCTGAATGATAAAATAATTAAACAAGGTAGAGGGTGATCTCAGCTAGCCTCTCTAGCTTTATGAAAAGATCATTTTGATTGATCACCTTTACCATTTTCATAAGTGGTGTGGCTTTTGAAGAAATAAAGTAATCAAATGGGTTTCCATCCCTGATTCCATTAATGACAGTGGAGTCCTGAATTTTGTGCAAACACATTACTTCTCTTCCATTCCATTCCTCTCCTCTCCTCTCCTCCCCTCTCATGCAAACACATTTCACCTCAAAACTATCTATATATAAACCCCCCTCCCCCATCTAGTTTTTTACACCAAACACACCCACACACACATACATAATCACAAATATCAACCCAACAACAAAAATGATGCTTGAAAAAATGAAGCCCTACTTTGCTGTCATATTCTTGCAATTTGGCAATGCAGGTTTGGTTATAATTGCCAAGGCTGCTCTTAACCATGGCATGAATCACTACACATTTGCCGTCTATCGAAACCTCATTGCCACCCTTGTTATCACTCCTTTCGCCCTCTTCTTCGAAAGGTCTCCTATCTCTCTCTCACTCTCTATTTATATATATACATCTCTCTCTCTCTCTCTCTCTATATATATATATATATGTATATATCTAATATTGTTGTCATGACAGCAAAGGGAGGCCAAAGCTGACCATTTCAATCTTCTTCAAGATAATGTTGCTGGGGTTTTTAGAGTATGTTTTCTCATTCCTTGGCCATATAATAATGTGTTCTAAAGTACGGTTCTTTCTAAGCGTTTTCATTATTTTTGCGCAGGCCTGTTGTAGACCAGAACTTATACTATGCAGGAATGAAGTATACAACTGCAACTTTTGCAGTAGCAATGTGCAACATAATCCCCGCCATGACCTTTGTTTTGGCTTGGATTTGTAGGTAATATTTCTATCTTCTGCAAGAACCTGTTACCTAGACCACACTCTTACTCGGTTATAACTTACCCAATTTTAATTTACTTGTTATTTTGTGCAGGTTGGAGAAGGTGAATATCAAGAAAATACATAGCATGGGAAAGATAGTTGGGACACTAGTCACAGTGGGAGGAGCAATGATAATGACAGTAGTTGCAGGACCTACAATTGGTTTGCCATGGACCAAGGGTTCAACCACCGATCATCAGCAACAATCTACGACCCCCCCTGTAAGTCCTGCAGACAATATCAAGGGCTCTATGATGATCATAGCCGGTTGTGTTTCCTGGAGCTTTTTTTACATTGTCCAGGTACCATGTTTCTCAACCTCAAACGACTATATTTATCTCATCACTGCTACTAACTTAAATAGTAAATTTCTAACCAAATTTAATTTCTTTTACAGGCAATTACGTTGAGGTCATACCCTGCGGAACTCTCTCTTACAGCTCTAATTTGTGCAGCCGGGACAATGCAAGGCAGTATAGTGACCATAATCGCTGAACGGGGAAATAATGAAGCCTGGCGGTTACACTTGGATGCTGGACTTGTCACTATGGTCTATGGTGTAAGAAATTTGAATAAACTAATTATAAGCATCAGCTAATGGGAAGATTAATTTTCTGAATCTCACATATGATCTTTGATTGTGTTTAAACGCAGGGAGTAATCTGTTCAGGATTGGGTTACTATCTTTCAGGAATTATAATGAAGGAAAAAGGGCCAGTTTTCGTCACAGCTTTTAACCCTCTGAGCATGGTTATTGTTGCAGTTCTAGGATCTATTGTTTTATCTGAACAGATGAACTTAGGGAGGTATATCATCAGTAACCTCAATTTGATGACTAATATGAACACTTGTTCTGATATGTTTTGTACCACATGCATAAACAGTTGTCCACCATATAAAATGCCAAAAAGAAACAAGAGAAAGACCCTTGATTTGAGACACACACAAAGTGATTCATGAGGTATAAATGGAAAAAACCAATAAGATGGATGTTATTTCTGCAGGGTTCTTGGAGCAGCTGTCATCGTGATTGGGCTATACTTGGTGATATGGGGGAAAAGCAAGGATGAAAGTCAGTCTAATTCCAAATGTGACCCTGATCAACTTCCACCAGTTAATCAACAACAAATACCCATGACAATCAGTAGCACAAAATTAGCAAAGGAGGATCAAGACAGCCTTTCGATAGCAATACCACCAACCAATGAAACAGTTGTGAAAATCAACGGGAAATAGAGTGACAAAAAGTACGTTTATGAGGGAAAAAAGAACACAAACACTTGTACTATTGAACATCACTTCCTTCCTGGAGTTTTTCTATTGAATATGTTGGAAACCACTTTTCATCTCTGGTGCAACTATGATGAACCACCTCATGCATTTCACATCTCAATTGCTAACAGAGTCCAAATTCAATATGTCTACTTTTTGGTTTAGGTGCTTGTCTACACACAATCGTACATGCATGCCCCCGCACTCACAAATAAATGATGTATTATTAAGCTAAGGTTGCAAAAAGAAAGATGCCCAGCGAATATCATTCCATATCTATTTATAGCATGTAAGTAACTAATGAATAATACATCACCTAGTAAATAAACCTGATTCTGCATGCTTATAGCTTTTATTCATAGATGCATTAAAATTCACACATTGCAGCTGGATATGATTCTGTTAGATGTGGCAAAACGATTAGGTTGGGCAGAATTGGGTAACGGTCAAAGTGGAGACTTTATTTCTAGTGGATCAAATGGATTAGGTTGGCCCATCGGAGCCATGATTATTCGTTTGTTTTCTGCCTCTTTGCAGAAAAGGAACATTTAACATGTATACATCATAACAACAAACAATTCAGCTAACAAACATATCAACGCATTAATTTCTTTTCACATGCTGTTTAAAAAGGATTAATTTTCACAACTAACAAAGGAACCTTATTTCATTATAAAGATAACATTATACATCAGCATCAAACTAATCCTTAACGTTCGATTCTTTTTTAAAGAAGTGCATTGATAAAAATTTTTATAAAGTTCAAGTTTTCTTTTTTGAGAAATAAAAACATGCTGCTACTTCCATTCAGCGAAAAAAACAAAACCGTCAATTGTTTTTGTTTAAATTCTTCAATTTTGAAATGACATAGATGATTTGTTTCACAATGTTTTATCATGGTATCATCACTTATATGTGATCTCATTTTATTTTATTTTAGTAATGACTTTTCAAATTACTATGTGCTAGTCTTTGTTCCTTCTACTTGTTTGCTCACTCTCTTGCACAAACTGGCTCAGTTAGGTTTGGTTTTAGTATTTTTTTTAATGTACAATCACAATAATTCTTGTTCATTTTTCTGAAGCGAAAGAAAACAGCATAACTCAGTAAAGAAGGATATTTGAAATAGAAGTACACAAGATCTTGCAAATGCATCCAGCAATAGGTGTCACACATCAAATATTATAAATTTTTATGAGATAAAAAAATAGGATCCAATAGCTTTTAACCAATGGAGAATTGGAAAGAGTTGGCACATGAAACGAGGACGGGTTGGTGTTGTGGGTGAAAAGGGGTTGGAGTGGGGTGGGATCCGACAGGGCATACAAAAGTGCGGTGTGGGTGAGATTCAAGTTTTGTGGACACAGGCTGAGGAGAGATACGCGAAAGATGTACTGGTAGGTGGATAGATAGGCTGACTTGTATTCAGGGAAACACACTGTAATCCAATGATCAAAGATGGTAATCTTTCATTTCAAAATCATCCACCCATCTGACCCATTAGTTAATTTGTTTTGAACAATCATAACTGAAACCTTGAGAATCATGGGGCAAACGAGTTGATTTTGTTTTTTAAGAGTCTAGCTTCCATGAATGAAGAATATAAGCATATACGTTGGTGTGAGATCAGTCGGAATTAATGTCAAGTAGAAACAGAGATATCAGAGAAATATATCAGAAACTGCGCCTGTAGTGTCAATAACTGAAAAGAAACAATCACCTTCCCAAGCATTGAAAATATTCAGATTGAAGAAATACCAGGTGAATGGTTGGATTAAATCAAACAGCATTCCATGTTTAATGCTCTTCAGCTCTTCGGCTACATCAGAGGTGCTCTTTCTGTGTTTTGGTGTTTAGACTTGCATCCAGCATGATCGAAGGGTCAATAGATTTTAATTCAAGGCTGCCAAACAAATATACAAAAAAATTTAGAGCTTGATTAAACCAATAATACTGTCAAAATCAGATACACCGTGAACTGTAGCGCTACTTTATCTTTTCAGATGTTTAAACCAGATTCCATTTGCAAAATTGACCAATGGAATGAAATTCTCAGACCCCTTAATGTAAATAGGGTTGATCAACACCATCTTGTGATCTCATCATTGATCCACTAAAACATAATCTTTAAGGCTCTTGCCAAAAGGTTGGCTCGTAGAAAAGATAATGTTAACCCTTTTGCTAGAAATGGTGCTCAAAGAAATGCTAAGGCTATTCCCTCCCTAATCAAATCACTTCTAAGCGCCTGTGTACTCAGTCGGGTGTTTTTTATTGTATGGTAAATTTTATTAAAACCTAGTTATCTGGTTCAGAAATGAAACCCAATTATTTAAAAGACTGGCAATTTACTATTTCAAACACACATTTCAAAGGTGTACCCATCACTGTACGTACAACAACTAGCATATCCTGCCCTTCAAAAGCTCATGTTCTGGAAACACCCTCATAACAAAGATTTTTACACATCACCATACATTTTATTAAACAACAATGATTGTGGATAAAACATTGAAAGACGGACACTTTTTGGTCAAAGGAATAAAATTATGACCACTTTATAGAGGCATACTTTTTGTAAAGCAGTGAAAGTTGGCACAAAAAAAATCACCAGGCAACAATAAAAGATCTTATAGAGTGGAGAGCATAAAGCCAGAAAATATGCGAGTGAGCTTTAATAGCAACAAAGTTGTGAAATTCATTAGCACTTGTCATCTCATTGAAAAAATATAGACAAAAGAACTGACGGTAAATACCTGGGAGCCTGATAGCATCGTAGGTGTCAGAGCATCATAACAGAACAAATGGTAGGCCAAGTCTCTTTTAACCGTGTAATTTAAGAAACAAAAGTGCAATCTACAAGTAGGCATTTGATTCACTTCTACTAGCATGGAGGTTGTGTGTTCGTATCTTGTGGACAATCGAATGTATTTGATTTAGCTACCCATTTTCTTATCTAAGAACAATACCCGGTTTAGAAGATATTATAATGCAATAGAATAGCAAATCAAAGAATATGCAATTGTTGCGGCTCTGGCCAGTGGTCCGACTAAGGTCATATGTAAAAGTGCATTTGTGATTTCAATTCAACCTTCTTTGAATGGAAACTATTGTTGCTTCACAAACTCTCACCTTAAGAATAAAGAAGAAACATATCCGTTTTAGACTCTTCAATACCCGAGCTCTTAACAAAGTTTTTATAGTTTGTCTTTCAGATCCTTGAGCAACAAGACAAGGATAATGAGTTTCTTAACGTGCCATAAGTTGGTCTAGCTAGGCTTGCTCAGGTGGTTAGGACTTGCATGGGTGGTACTGCTCAAGCAAGGAAACCCTTAAGATATGGTTATTTAGATGGAATATCCAAATACCGTAGCAAAGCTGAGGGAAGCTAAACGTTATTCAGAGTTCACCACAGTAATAAAAGAATATCAAACTCTTGAATCACTAAAGCCAACCCCTCCAGCACTCACACACATGCTGCCTAGCTTGTTTTGTTTTGTTTTGTTTTGTTTTGCATTTCCCCTCTAAAACAAAACAATAGGCCTAGCACACTGGCCAACAACGTATTGCTAACTGTGCAATTTTTGAGTCCATTGTATTGAAACTATCAATCTGTATGGAAGGATCTGATACAAGTTGGGCAGTTCATGGGAGGTTGAGTTCACCAAAAAACAACAAAATGATGCTCTATTCATTCTCTGTTACTTCGATTGTGAATGTCAAACAAACCTCTTTCAATTATAATATTGATGCAAATGTATATAAATTATAAACAAAAAATCAAAAATTACATCAAAAGATGCTACAGTATGATAATTACAAACTGAATAGGTGTCAAAACGATAGACTTGTTGAACATAAGTTTGACATTCAAAGTGAAAAGATATAAATTTAAAAGCGAAGCAATACGTCAAAACATAAACCCTATCGCAATTCCAATTACAAATGGTTCCCTCTCTAACCAGTAACAATAATGGATCTTTTTAAGCTAAAACCAAGTGGAACGATTATAGATGTTGATAACTTTTGCCACCAATCCTCATACAGATTCATTGACATAATCAACAAATTGTCCATTCAAATTGTAATAAAACCTTGTTTGATCGAGCTACACTTACCACTGATGCATGCCCTGTTATACCTTTTGTTTTCCATAAAACAGTAAATCCATCAGATTGTGAATCAATTGATCTAAAGCAATATGATTAAACGCTAACCTTGACCAGAAGATGTAGATGCTCTGTTCTGATTTTGTTCCATGTTCTTCTGCAAATACACACTGGAGTACTCCTCTGGATGGGACAGATATAGAGTTTTATTTTTGTGTTCTTGCGGGAGAATTAAACAACAGGATTGACTTCTGTATTTATAAGTCTCAAAATGGCGCCAACAAGGGATACAACAGTTCCTTCCATCAGGGAACAGGTATTAACTGTCAATCCTCAACTACATCCCATAACTACCTATTTATACCATATATTAAATAGAGTTAATAAAAATAAATCTGAATTATACAAATACGAATGTTAGCTTGATGCTGAAAACAGATAATGGTATGAATGTTAATGATTATTCCTTATAACTATATCTTGTTCCTTTCTATTCTAACATGCCCTGCATTTTGTAATTGGAACAAATTAAATTTCAAGAGCATACAGAAGTCAATCATCGTTGAAAACCACTCCTCAACCTCTACGACGCCGTAAAATCTATGATCTGAAACTAAAAACTTAGAAACAAACAACATCCTTAAAATCAAGCCTGTAGAAATCGATGAGATAAGTTAGATTAATAAGAGTGAAACGAAGAAACCTGTTATGGCGTTGGTAGAAGGTGATTTCCTCTTGGTTTGTTGGTATAAGGAAAGAAGGAGAAGCATGATTCAGTGAAAGGATGCATAACAGAAACCGAGCAGGGGAAACAAACCATTGTTGCATTGTGAGTGAGGCTCTTGGGTTTCACATATGTGAAACACAAAATAAGTTAAAAAAAAATTAACCACAAACCGACCAGGGGAAACAAACCATTTATAATTATATCTGAATTTTTCTAGAGTTTTGCTATATTTTTTTTAATTAACCTAGATATTCAACCCATTATACGAGTCGACTAATTTTAGGGCGACCATCTGTTTTGCAGATAGCCTGGAGTCACCGTATTTGAACCTCCGTGGTCAAAGGGGATTTTTATTCCTCCTTGGATTTGAACTTGGGACCTCCTGGTATTTTTGACGTTTAAAGTCAAGCTCATACCAATCAGGCACCACCTTTGTAGTTTGTTATCTTATTCTTTAAAATAGAGGATAATAGAAAAACAATAAACATAGAGAAATCTCTAAAATTTGATGAGGGAGGGGAGCGAAAAATAATTATTTTATTCAGTTCCATCAATAAATTGAGTTATTAATTTTTATACATCTTTTTTTTAAAAAAAAAGTGTATTTTGATGATAAATTATAGAATATTATAACATATAATTTATGTTAAAAATCTCTAAATAGAAAATCTGTTCGAGATAAATGTATTTCTTTTTAGAAAATTTATATTTTGATCGTTCATTTTAGAAAAATTGTTGGAGATGCTCTCAAGGACTTAATCATTTAAAACGAGAAAGTTTAATAAAAAAATCGTTCAAAGACTTGATCATTTAAAATGAAAAGGTTTAATGGTTTTTCATTTTCAAAAGGTTTAGAGAAATTTAAAATGGAAAACTTACGTGCCGTTTACCAAACGCTTACCCGAGTAAGCACTTACCAAGTCACTTTACTTTACCGGATGAATATGGCAAGGGCTAAGAATCTTACCCGGTAAGAGCGAAGACAATAATCGAGAGTCTTACCCGGTAAGTGAGGATAACGACTCTTAACATGGTTAGGGTTTATCGGGATAAATTATTGCATACGATACGTGTTAGTGAATAAAATCTTACCCGGTAAGTAAGCGATAGTGTTGAATTTTATCAATAAATGCTTACCGAGTAAGTGTTTAATATCTAATCTAATTAAGTTTGATTAAATTATTTATTTTTAATTATTCGAACTTCTTGTTTAGATATGTTTAAATGCATGTGATCCAAGAGTTCTTTTCTTGTCACGTTGATAACAGTCTTAAACATCTTATTTATAATTATAAACCATGACTAATATCTAACATTATTTTTATCACCGTCCAAGTGACAAAATTTATGGTTGTTTTCAATGCAGATATATGTTAGGGGTCATTTACCTAAACACTTATCCCGTAAGCATCTACCAGTAAAATTTAACAATATCGTTTACTTATCGAGTAAGATTTTATTCACTAAAATGCATCGTATGCAACAATTTATCCCGGTAAGCACTAACCATGATAAGAGTCCTCGTCTTCGCTTACCCGATAAGACTCTCGATTCTTGCATTCGCTCTTACCGGATAAGATTATTAGCCCTTGCCATATTCATTCGGTAAGTAAAATGACTTGATAAACGCTTACCCGGGTAAGCGTTTGATAAACGACACCTTAGTCTTTTTTGTCTTTGATGTTCAAATTGAACGTCATACAGTGAATGTGTTTCTTTGTATTCAATCTCCAATTTCTTGATCCTCGAGTAAGTTAATAAACAGATCACAATATTAAAGATATTTATTTTAAATGTTCATAGACCAATTTAAATAAACTAGAAGGGTACTTACGCAATGCAGTAAGATATATCTCGGTTTTAATGTTTCGTTTTATTCTTTATCCGAAGATGTTATAATACGGTTTTCACTACCAAAAAACCCACTTTTTCCGGCGGCCAAATCCGCCGGAAATCCGCCGGAAAAAGGTATTTCCGGCGGATTTC